AATGGCACATTCAAATTGTCAATATGGAAATCCACCTGCCACTTAATGCACGTGCAAATCGCTCTATCCATGGAAAGTGGAGGACAATACACATGCATTGATGCGTTTTTCACCGTCGTTCACTGTGGAGGTACTTGTTTGAAATTGCAGCTTAAAATGAGGCGTTTTTTATACTTGCTGAAAGGGGTCAGGCTATAGTCCTTTTGGAATCTGGTCAACCTCAGCGGCAGGTTGCTGTCCGTTTTAATGTGAGTCAGAGTGCTGTTGGTAGACTGTGGCAGAGATTTCAAGCCAATGGGTGCGTGGAATATGCACGTCGACTAGGTCGTCCCAGAGTCACAACAGCCCGAGATTATACGCACATGATTAACACTGCGTTACGTAACAGCAGATCTTCAGACAGAACACCTCAATGTTAACAATGTAAGTATTTCCAGGAGCCCCGTTCGTCCAGGCTTAAGGGCAGCCGGACTCCGTTGTAGGTGACCTGCAGTTCGACCGCCACTAACACCACGTCACAGGCAGGCGCGTTTGAGATGGATTAGACATCATGGCTGCTGGAATTAGCGTCAATGGTTTTGTGTGCTCTTCACAGATGAAAGCAGATTCAATTTGTCCTTCCATGATGGTCGGCAGAGGATTTATCGTCGTAATGTGAGAGAGGATCACAGATGCAGGTGTGGCCACGCATAACCGATTTGGCGGGGAATCGGTCATGGTTTTGGGCAGGGATAACTCCTACTGGACGTACTCCACTCCACTCCACTCTCTGGTCCAGACTCGATTATTTACAGACCGCCGCCATATAGCTGGAATATTGCTGAGTGCGGCGTAAAACTAAACTCACTCACTGATACTCACTTGGGTTTTCATTAGGAATGTTAAATAGAAAAATGCCACGAAACATTACGCCACTTGTTGGGCCTACAATGTGTCACGTAGCCTGCGACTGGGAGGACATTGCCTTGTTGGTCAATGTATTTACCCAAACAGTTCCATCGGCGGGGCTTAAAACGGTCTCAGAAGATATTTGGATATCCACACATTTTCGTTTTGTGCTTGTAAAACATAAATATGCGTTTTTATGAAACCATAATACATTGCCGATCCTCACGATCGTGGTAACCAGGGGAGACAGTAAAGAATTGTGTCATTCGGGGATTCCCCATGAAAAATAGTTCCGGTCAAAATCGTAAACACGTCAAGAGGTTATGTTTATACTTTGTAAACGTCACTTTCTGAAGGTTTTATTTTTTAAATGAACAGGTCATGTGATCAGCAAATAAACCAAATTCGTTAAGGGTCAAAATAAGAAGTTATAATTAATATACAGATGTCTTTTTAAAAGGATGGGGACGGCTTCTGATGTTGACTTCGATGTCAGGTAACTGTCATGCGCAATGCTAAACAACAAATGTGTTGTGGACTTATATGTTTACACAGCACAAGTAACACAACTCAAAATTCTACCCGAGATACCACGTTTACATATTCAGATATAACGTTGTGTGATCCACCGCCTTGTTTTGTTGCCTATTGACGTTCATCTTACATTTGGCATTAAATGACACTTTCAAAGTGCATAATGATTTCTATCCTTCAACTTTCCAGATTATTTACAATGTAATGAAATGCTTTGGTTTGTAAATTAGTTTGCTTTGTTCGCAATTTTCCATCCTTCCCATAACATTTTTCTGACCACATTAAACGCCGTATGATCATTTCAAAGTTCGTTATAAATGATAAAGAGGGACAATCAACCCACGCTACCCGAGGGAGTTATAGGCGACGAATTTATCAAACGCTTCTAGGTATGTCTTTTGCATGCTGACCCGTGAAGATAACCCATGCTTGTCGTAGGCGGCTAAGGGGTGGTCAGGATCACTAGGTTGACACATGTCATCGTATCCTAACTGCGTGGATTGCTGTTGATCACTGGATTGTTTGGTCCAGACTCGATTAGTTACAGTCCGCCGTGATATTATTGTTACATTTCTGAGTTCGGCGTTAAACAAAAAACCAAAAAAAACCCACACTTTTGAATGCTTGCTTTGAAGAGCTGTGCTTTTGAAATGCAATGTCCTTATGGGGCGGAGCCATTCATGTTGACTTCAGCAACAATCACTGCACCCCAAGACCAAACAGAAAGTGTCCGCAATAGTCCACACACCTAATGATGAAAACACCGAGAAACGGTGGAATTTGACAATAAATATATCTTGATATCGGAAGTCATATCTCAATCCTGCCCCTCATTAAAATTTTCACTGATTTTACAGTCCTTTTTCTATGCAAATTTAAGAACTTCATGCTTGTGAGCACATATTGAAATGCGCAAAGTAGTACACAGGCTTCTTGTTAAGTCACTTATTCAACAACCCTTTCTTAAACCGGTTTCAGTTTCTGAAAACAACATCCACTACGATTTATTTACAACGCGGGTAATAAATAAAATAGCACACTCGTTCTCTTCCGATAATAGCTTTACGAACTCGTGAACTGCCTGTCTACCCACCCACAGTGTATTCGTTACCTTTTTCAGGACGTTCAATGTACGGACATGTTTTGTGACTTAACTCTATGGTTGTTTCAGCTACAAAAAGCAATCCAATAATACTGCCCCTACATTTTCATTAACCTGTTTCACAGATTGTGTTTATATATCCAGTCCGATCAATTTTTAAAAACAGGGAAACAATTGGTAATTGCATCTGATGAAAAAGGGACTTGATCAAAATCAATACAAAGGTTCGCAATAAAGGTGCGATAATGATGAATCGAACACTTGGTGCTTTTCAGAGAAAACACGACATTATACGTTTATAATAGCGTACGTTTATGCCAATTTCAGGTTCATTTGGCCATTAAGGCTTTGTATAACCTTTATGGAACCAATATAAATATTTGTAGGAAAAACAAAAATGTTCGAGTTGATGGAGTAGGCTCAGCACTGTTTTGCTTATTGACTTTTTTTATAAAAGCTGACTGCAGTTCAGCAGTGGCTTGAAAACATCACGTTTATGCATTAGTCAAAAGATATTTTCCAGATGTCAGTGGTTGTTTTGTTAGCCATCTCCTTCGATACAGCTCGAACTTTAATGGTTGACAAATGAACGCATGTCATAATAATGAGAATATTTATAACGCGCATTTTCCAGGCTAGATATCCTGCTCAAAGTGCACAATCTGATCATTATTACCCCGGATAACCCAAGCTGCCTGTTAGGCGCTAGAAGGTCTCACGACTTATTTCACCGGGTACCCATTTCCTGCTGGGTGAACAGAGGCAATTGTGAACAAACTCACTTGCCTAAGGTGAGACCACATGTGTCACATGTGCTTCGTTGTTGGGCAGGACTGAAGTCCTAGAAACACTCAGGAGTTAAGCTGCCAACACGGTCACCCATCCAAGCGCTGTCCGAGCCCAACGTTGCTTAACTTCAACTGATTTGTGACCTGAGCGCTATGCACAGGACCACGTGCCATCATGTCCTTCTTCCCGGGTGGTTAGAGTTAAATAAACTCAGTTGATTTAATGAGAATTAAGTTTGTTATTTAGATTTAATTAGTCTGTGATTTAGATCTATCCAAGTGAAGAAATTAACATAGCATTGGCTCCAAACTTAGCTTAGAAAACAGAGCAAGTAAAGAGGGAACAGCACTGTCAGTGGTTCTAGTCGTCGCTGGGAACCTACTTACTGACCAAATAACTGACAAGGATAAGGATATGATGGATAGCGCTTTGAGAGAGTGATTTACAACCAAATAGTGATGATTTCTTGCCCATGTGAGTAAATGGAGGTGAGGTGAGGTGAAATTGGGTTTAACGTCGTGCGTGAGAATATTTCGCTCATATGACGACGTGCATGCGTGTGTATGTGTATGTGCGGCTGCTTGTACTAGCCCAGACTTAAGCTGGTTTTATAGTGCTAGCTCACTGAGATACCATGCCGCAGTGAAGCATGAATACCCCACTCAGACACATTATACTGACTCCAAGCCGACCAGTCCTTGTTGTACCCATTAATGCCGAGCGCCAGGCAGGGACCAACAAGTACCATATTTTAACGTCTTTTGGTATGACGCGGTCGGGGATCGATGCCGCGACCTTCCGCTCTCCGGACGGACGCTCTAACCACTACACCACGGAGGCGATGTGAGTAAATGGAACTGACCCAGACTGAATGATATTGAAGATCAATGGCTTCAAATTCTGATTCCATTGCATAAAGAATCTTAGCAGCAAGGGAGGAATCACATTATGTGTCTACATTGATAACATACATACTTCAATAGCTTTAAAACGTAGTAAATACATTTAACAAGGTTAACCTCAATGTTACTTCCTTTTGTCTGTAACAACATTAATTCTATTTTCTAAATTTCAAATTAGTGTCAATCTTCAAATGCATCGTCCCATCAAAATCCAAATTGCAGGAGAACTACTATTTACGAACTGTACGTGGCACTGAAAACAGATTCAGATAAAAGGTTGTAGTTACTTTTACACATATATTATACATTAAACATGTTTTCAATAATGCCAAAACTGCTGTGTAAAATGTGACACTTTACTTTGACGTGTGTTGCTTTAAGACTGTTACTTAATGTTCACGTCCAACATCACATCACATTCCACACACGTTCCTTTCTAGAACAAACACAACTGTCCTACTCTCCGTACCTTGTCCAAGTTTAACTTTTTAGGATTGTCCCTTTAATATGACAACGTGAATTGATCGGAATTGATCACAGATAAGAGCGTCTCATCACACCATCAATTCTGACACAGTTTGTGTGTATCGATGAAGCGTCAATCTAAATTAATGGAAAATGCAACTGGGAGTGGTCACATGTATCAATATCTTTATCACAGAATTAAAGGTTCCATTTTATCTTCACGCACTCCGACGATGCGCTTAGATCCAGTGTAGTATAGCAAAGGCGTTCAGTAATGATAGAGTGAGATCAATGCCACGGTGAAAGATCTGTTACCCCGTGTCTGTGTATAAGCAGCAAGTCTCGGATCGGAAACGACATAGTTTGACTAATTTAAGTCAAGCCGAAATATAATCATCAAGAAAAATGGGGTTCCTGTTTCAGTTACTTTTACCTGTATTTGGCTTCGTGTTCATTTTATCAGGTGAGTGTATTGTTTTGTCTTGAAATTTTGTTGAACATCATTGTCAGCCCGCCATATCAGTTGATTGCCATTGACAACCATTTATGTGTTGTTTAACGACATTGGTAACAATATTTCGATCATGTAAATTCCAGTTTCCAATTTCACTTGCTCTTATGTAATGTTGATGTTATGGGGGTACGTACATAGTTTTTTAGCTTTAATTTTAGAGTTTTGCTTCCTCGATACATCTGGATGATACACTTCTGAAGTTTTGTAAGCTTTGAATATTATCATATTCAAGGTCTGTCAAAAATGTCTTTAGAATTTCCGCCTATATACGTATCCTTGAAACTTGTTGATAGACATCCGAATAATAGCAAACCCTTTATCGGCCTGACTAGTGAAAGAGTATTTATGTACGCCGCGTTTTGTAATATTCCAGGGGCGGTGGGGTAGCCTAGTGGTTAAAGCGTTGGCTCGTCACGCCGAAGACCCGGGTTCGACTCCCACATGGGCACAATGTGTGAAACCCATTTCTGGTGTCCCCCGCTGTGATATTAAGCTGGAATATTGCTAAAAGCGGCGTAAAACTAAACGCAGTAACTAAATGGCAGTTACACATTCTGCCTATGTGGGGTATCGAACCCGGGTCTTTGGTGTGACGGACTCCACGTCCTTACGAAATTCATCGTTTATTTAAGCTACTTCAAAGTGACAGTGACTACAAACTGCTAGCGTTACCATGGAGATTGTTTTGGATACATAGAAACGACTGGCACAGGGTCACAAATCTAAGCTCCAAGGTCGTATTTTACTTATTGTCGGTGGGCCCAGACTAACGATACTCGGATGGACGGGTCGTTATCTATGAAGGATTAATGACACCAGTTTGATGGCAGAATATATTTTTAATGTTTCATTTTTGTAAAACAATGGCGATATTTCATTTTTTCCCAAAACCTCAAAATTTTTATATTTTCTTGATTCAATGATTATTTTTGACGAGTTTTCGAATCTATGAAATAAACTTGTACTAACATGAAATTAATTGAAATTACGGGAGAGAGTAAGACTACAAGGAAAAATGGAAGTGACAAGAAAAAGAACAGATGCCAACAGATCTCGTCTTTAAGCCAACTAACGAGTTGCAGTTATACTGAGTATATTGTAATGTTATGTAATTTGATGATTATGAATTGCACTTGATGCCAATTTAGATGACTGAATCTTTATTTTGATCGTGCTGGGGCATTCAAGGCCAACGTAGGGCTTCAGTACAGTTTGAGGTGGGTCTTTGGAGAAACACCAGAATCGTGCAATCGACATGCTTGTAGTTTGGTTTAGTTTGTATAACGTCGCACTCAGCAATATTCCAGCTATATGGCGGCGGTCTGTAAATAACCGAGTCTGGACCAGACAATCCAGTGATGAACAACACGAGCATCAATCTACGCAACTGGGACACGATGACATGTGTCAACCAAGTCAAGCTGGTCAAGACAAGCATGGGTTGCTGAAGACCAATTCTAACCTGTATCTCTACAGGTGGACATGCATGCTTCTGGACTGAAATTATTGAATTTGCGATTATTGAAGGGGTATGTAAATTTTAGTCAGAATGACCAAAATTGTCTGCAAAACCTTGGAATGAAACTTACTGAACATTACATGCCATAAAGACCTTGAGTGACGTAAATTGGTGGAATGGAAGACCAAATTCAGAATATTACACCCAATGTGTCATTTTATATCTGAAACGACTCATGTGTCTAATGCTTCTGATCAGGCCACATTACTCCGGGCCTATAATGTTGTTGACAGGAGCAAGCCATACAAAGTGAAACAAAGTTACGAAGATGTTTAGGAATTAGGAATTAGTTTTATAACACAATATTCGCCAACATGGTCAGTATTTTCATGCATTCACCACTGACAAGTGCCACTCCACTTCCGTTATTGTATTAAATGAGCCTGGAAACTTTCCTTTCATACTACATACTGTATTGCTTAAATTGTAAGTTAAATAGTGTCTAGATGTGATGTTAGAACCGCATGCCTTCAGCAGTACAGACACATAAAAACAGAACAATAATTCTAGCACGTGACAGATGCGTTACATCTGGAAGGCCAGATTCAGGCCACGTTTTTACTGTTATTACATATCTCTTGGAAATATATTCATTCGAAACCTGTTCCTGTTAACATATGAACCAAACATTTAAACTCTGCGGGTGGTCAACAGAACAAATCATATTTTTCATTAACACAAACAAAATGATTAGATTATGTGTCTCGTTTCGCTTTGGACACGTGTGGTCACGTGTGGATACGTATTTATTCCTAAAATAGATTTCATGTCTTTCCAATGTTTCACTGACTGACTGAGTATGGTTTTACGCCGTTTTAGCAATATTCCAGCAATATCACGGCGGGGGACACCAGAAATGGGCTTCACAAATTGTACCCATGTGGGGAATTGAACCCGGTCCTTCGGCGTGATCCAATGTATCAAGCTGAATAATATTAAGGTTAACAATGAAGTTCAAATGTAACACAAGCAGCGTGTTTGCTACTTTGCACGTGAAAAGAACATATTAAAGTTATCCTGTACTTTCAAGCTATCCTCGCTGGATCACCTCAAGGACCTTCTTAGGTTCCGCTGAACAGAGGGTTTCTTGAATTGAATCAGAATCACATCCAGGTCCAGGAAAGCTGAAATAAACACATAGTTGTTGTGTTCCTTAGCATCATTATCCATGTAGTATGCTGCCACTGGATGAAGTGTCGAAGTTGTATCGCATGGTGACAATCACCGGATTGTCTGGTTCAGACCAGATTTGTTTACAAACAACATAATACTGCTGTAATACGGCTAAAACAAATATGTGCTCATGATAAAGTCACAATTGTACAATCGACTCTGCTTTCATAGAGAAAGATAGAGATTTCTTATGAATGTGAAAAGGGTTTTGTTGCTTCTATTTGCATAACAGTAGACAGATTGTATCTCGTTCATTTCTGACATGTAAAAGTTCCGGTAAAATCCATCTTAACAATTTCAGTTCAAAAGTACTTCGATTTTTAGGAAATATCACATATATTATCATCAAAATGATCAGAGTTGCAGTCAAATCTACAAACATCCATGCTCAATGCCAAAGTCAAAGAGCGCCTACTAAGCCGGTAAGGCAATAATATGTTGTTAATTTCAAATTTTCATGAGAGGCATCCACAAAAGTCTGGGCAAGTGTTTATTACAGTGGGTCAAGCAAAACGTTATGATTTATGCGCTCCTCGGCATACCTTAAGCGTCTTTGCAAAAAAATGAATTAACCTAAATATAAAGCAACTGTACTACCAACATATGTGTTCACCTGTGTCTCATTGGTAGAAATTCTTTGAACGAAAATCAGATATTATGTTTTCATCGTTTACAGTAGGTAGTGTATATATATATATATATTCATGGAAACGAATAAGGGAACAAATGAAAGTACCAGTGTTCCTTTATTTTGTTCCAGGTTTCTTCACAAGGTAAGTATTGCACTGTGGGTGAAATTCTGAAAATAAATAAGGGAACACTTGTACTTTCACGTGTTGCCTTATTTGTTTCCATGAGTATATCAAAGAACGGATTCTTTTTCAAGGGCCAGTCTGGCGACAGCATAAATTTCCCTCCGTTAGATCATGAGAATATTTTCCTTTTCACAAATAGATCTCACAGTGTTACATATTAACGAGTGACAGTTTCAATTACTTCTATTATATTGAAACGTCAGAGACAAAATAATGGTAATTACCCCTATTAGTAGAGAATGAATTTTTCAATGGATATCAAATTTATGTGGATAGAAGCTTTTCATGCCTCAAGTCGTTGTTCTTGTCCTTTTCAGCGACTGCAGGACAAGATCAAAGAGGAACGGAGTTCATGCTGTCATTTATAGACCCACAGAAGAATGAAGGTTTTCCGATCCTTCTGATTTCAGCTGAAAATAGAGCGTTTGTCACAATAACCATCCCCTCTCTAGATCTAATTCTTATGAATGACATTGAACCCGGGGAAACATGGAAGCCTACCCTGTCCACAGACCTGAGATACACATCCTATTTTACAACTGTACGATCTGCCGTGAATGTTACTTCTACATCCCCAGTCACAGTCTACGTCTACGATGGGTTTGGACTCAGATCCTCTGGATACATGGCACTTCCTCTACACGCCCTGTCCACGTCGTATATTGCAGTGACCTACAATGGTCGGACAGACAATGCTTATCCAGTTTTACTTCTCGTTGCCATCATGAATGACACCACAGTGGATGTTTTGTACAGGCTGTCCAGTGGTCAGTGTGATGAACATACAACTGGGCAGACCTCTACCCACACACTTCATGCATATGACGTGCATGGTGTACGATGTACTGGTGACTTCACAGGAACATACGTTGTGAGCAACAAGGCCCTAGTGGTCATCTCTGGACACCAAAAAACGAATGTAAGTGGACTTAATATGGATACTCTTCAAGAGATGTTGATTCCCGTGGATCAGTTTGGTCTGAGTTTTGTGCTGATTGAGCCTCATGGCAATGCGAGAGGATCCATCAACAGGATCGTTTCATCTTCTGACAACACCGCGGTGACTTCCAGTACTGGGGAGACCTTCCTTCCCAGTGCGTACGAGTATGTGGACATTGACACGGATATCAGTGGCCAACAATGTATAAACTCAAATTTTCCAGTCCTGGTTGTTTCCTTCACCAAGTCTGCTAACGGGGAGAAATTTGACGAGAGGTCGATGGATGCAGCAATGTATACCGTACCTGCCACCAACATGTTCACCACAAGCATCTACGTAGATTATGGGTTAACTAGTGTGTTGGCCACAGATGAATTTGTGTCTATCGCCTTTGTGTTTAGTAGAAACGATACTCCTGACTTTTCAGCTTCTCCAACTGTCCATGAAGTCATCCCAAGCTGCCCCTATGATGTGTACAAAATGACAGTAACAGCATGGCCAGTCGTGTACTCTGAAGGTTCCCTCAAATTTGGTGCTTACCTCCTTGGCTCAACTCATAATAAGTTCAACGGAGCAGCTTTTCCTCTCAATATGCGTTTTGGTAAGCCATGTCTCTGAAATGTCTCTTTTCCCATTAAAGTTCATTTATAAGTACACAGCCTGAGGTACAGGTCAATCTACTTCCACTATACGTGATAGATCATATTGTGTCACGATGAGGTTTTTAATCAAGCAGTAACTGTATAGCTTACTTTCTTGTCAACAATATTATGTTATAGAAAGTCGCTTGCTGGTTTTAGGAAATTAATGTGTTAAAACAACATTAGCCTTATCTGTTTCTATATTTTCTTTCATATGCTTTTACAGGTAACAAACAAGTGTCATCGTCGTCATCTTCTTATCAGTCCTCTTCTTCTTCCTGTTGTTTTCCTTCCTCCCCTTTGACTTTTTCATCATCTTCTTCTTTTCCATTGTCTTCTTCCTCTTCGTCTTTTACTTCTTTATCTTCTCTTATGTCATCGTCGTCTTCTAATTCTCCGTCTCATTTTTCTTTCCCCTTTTCGTCTTTGTTTTCCTCGTCTTCTTCACTTTCTCCTTCGTCGCCTCCTTCTTCTTCTCCCGCTCCTTCTCCGTCTTTGTTTTCCTCGTCTTCTTCACTTCCTCCTTCGTCGCCTCCTTCTTCTTCTCCCGCTCCTTCTCCGTCTTCGATTTCTTCGTCTTCTTTACTTTCTCATTTTCCTTCTTCCTCTTCTTCTGTTCCTTTTTCTTCTGTTATATTTTCTTCTTCTCCTTTTCCTCCATATTCTTCGTTTTCTTCTCCTTCTTTGTCCTCTCCTCAGTCTTCGATTTCTTCGTCCTCTTCTCTTGGCGTGTATGACGTGACATCTTCAGTACCTCAGCAGACAATATGTGGTTGCTACTGCATGGCCCATGCTCCTTGGAACATCACCGATGGGCTCGTTGATATATTGAGGGAAGAAGTAATGAACCTGCTTCTTCTGGAGCCTAAGAACCTATCCAAGACTATCAGGAAGCTGACCAGTGCCCAAGACAACAGACCAAGTGCCGTCGCCATTGGATCAGTTGGAACAGCCTTCATTGTTCTTACAATAGTTCTTATTTTTGTTCCCGATGTAATGTCTGGACTCATATATCTTTTTACTGAAGGAAAAACCCACCCAAAAGTGGTTCAGTTTGTTCGTAATGTTAAATAGTTTATTTGTGCATTTGCAAAACACATTTCATCAGATTATGAACAATTGCTTGTGTTCACCAAGATTATGCTGATGAGTGGTTGAGGGTGGGGAGTTTATTATAACAGTGATTACATAACTGTAATTTGCACCCTAATATTAATCTCAAGAACCTTGTATCGTCATTAGACCCGGTCTTTGATAATAAGGGGGCGGAGATGGCCTTGTGCTTAAAGCGTCAGGGGCTTGGGTCAGATCCCCTCACTATATCAGATTTATTTAACATACTCTTTTTCATTTCCTGCCTAATACGATTTCTATCCATGTAACGGTATCTATGTAACCCCAAGATTGTGAATGTTATTAGAAATGTGTCCCGTATACTCTTAAGGTGGTTTCGAATCATGGATTCTGCCTAGATTTACGATGATAAGTCGCCATTAGACTGTAACATTGTCAGGCAAAACTTCACCCAAAACATCTGTCCCAATGGTCATCAAGCTTATACATGTATATCATTGACGTTTAATGCTGCCAGGAAAGCTTCTTCGATCAGTCTACACGCAATAGAAAGTATACACTTGAAAACTAGATCTCGTCAATTAATTACACACGTTGTAAGAGGTTACTAGACTGCAAACAGAAGCCGAAACAACGCAAACACAAGCCCAAATTTAGCTGTGATATCCGCATCAATTACCTCGCTGTCCAATAACCATTTCCTCTTATTCATTTTCAAACAAGGGTGCATACTTTCCTTTGCCCGGCAGTTGTCATGACTGATTTGATGTTTTTTCTTTCAAGAGGTATCTACGTTTGCCTCCAAAATAATATACAAATCGTCCAGTTCCACAGTATTATAACAACAATTCCATCTATCACCATCACGCTTGTCCGTGGATCACTTCAAACGATGCACGTTATGTAGAGTCCAAAAATGTTTGATGGGTGCAATAATGGCAACAGTGTATTGAGAACTTCAGGCATTCAACGATGGCCTGGTCAGGAATTAGTGTTGTAACGATGCATCGAACTGCCGATGGATTGCAATTGTTGAGTCTCCAATATCAATTGATCGATGGTAGAAACGAAAACTATCGATGCATCGATAGTATGTGTGGCTATCGATAGTTTAGTAATTGACTTCCGTTGATAAATGTGCAGCGCAAAATACAGGAAGTACCAGATTCGTTCACTTTGATTTAGAGTTATGTGCCCCTGTTACCTCTTAAACAAACATGGCGGCAAACACTGCATGCGACTCGGAGTTTGAAATTGTGAATAACAATTAGTTTCTGTTTTAACTGCTTACTTGATCTGAGTTTCAAGTTTCTTGTCAGTAATTAAAAAAGACTTAACCTACTTCAACTTGTTTGTATTTCATATAAACTTTACATTCATTGGGGAATGACTTTAAATGAGACAATTCTAGGAGAGAAAAACTATTGCAACAATATTGCAATAGTTGGTCAGAGTAGACAATCGCTATCGCAGTAGTATATTACAATAGACTATCGCTGGCGCAATAGTTTTTTCCCCCTCAAGAGTCACCCCTATCAGGAGGCATTGTTCTTAAATGAGACCAAAGGGACAAGGGTGCATTGTGTCCACGTACACATCCTTACAATTTCCATTATGTTGTGTTCAGAATGTTCTGTGACGGTTCTGGAAATTCAGAAGACATGAGCAACGACTGTAACTACATCTACGAAGGTAATGCACATCACGTTCTGTTTACACATGACATACACAAATACAGTATATTCTAGTATATCAACTGACCAAGATGAACTGAGTGCTATGATATAACGTTGGTGTGCAGATATAGATCGCTAAAATTACACCAATGTCATCCTTTAAATTAATCTGAAGATGTTATTTTCCAAATTGAGACATTTTGCAGGTACTGTAAATCAAAGAATGACGACACTTACTCGTTCACATTAGCAACGGTGACTTTGTAATAACATTGTAATAATCTTTGAATAATCAGTGAATACATTCTGCTGTTTTGTTGACATACCGTTTCGAATCGTGAGAGCAGTAGAAGGATAATGTTTTTGTGATTAATAATTCAAGTTGATGCTTCAGGAGCAAAGCATCTAAAGTAAAACTACTTGATATATAGTCTGCTCAATAAGCATTAGCCATGCTTTATAGTCACTTGAGACGGCTTTAGTTGTTCGTACGAAGACAACGCTGCTTCTGCATCTAAGACTCTATTGTTTAAGACCGCCATCATATAGAAAGAATATTGCTGCCTGCGGCGTTAAATAAACAGTGAAACACACAAACAAAACAACAACAACACACCATATTTTGCGAGATAGTGAGATCACTACGAAAAACACGTTATGGTAATGAATAGAACCGTGCAGGTCCGGGTAAGAATATTGATCTTCAGTAACCCATGCTTGTCGTAAGAGGCGACTAATGGGATCGTGTGGTCAGGCTCGCTGACTTGGTTGACACATGTCATCGGTTCCCAGTTGTGTAGATCGATGCTCATGCTGTTGATCACTGGATTGTCTGATCCAGACTTGATTATTTACAGACCGACGTCATATAGCCGGAATATTGCTGAGTGCGGTGTAAAACTAAACTCACTCACTCACTCACTCTGGTAATGAATATCTTCAAGATGTTTGTAACAACAAATCGGAGAAATGATACCGAGGATAATTAAGAATACTGAATATTTAAACTGTCAAAAGGTATATTTCATCCATATCAAAGGAAATGTCGAGTTTGTTTTCGATATTTTCACGTGTGGATTTTAGAGATTGTTCTGAAGAAACTGGCTTTAGTAAAGATTGTTTGTGTTTGTTGACTCGCCTTTTTCTTTCATTCATTCTTTGTAGAACAACCTTCCCGAAACTTGGCATTAGGGCTGGGTATTGCAGAGAATTTTCACATTGGAATATATTGCGATGCGAAAGCATATATTGCGATATGTATTGCAATATATTGCAAGAAGTTCTCTTTAACAAAAAGCTACTTATAATCGAGTTAATGCTTGCTTTATAAAGCAAAAACACAACAAAATCACCATACTTGATTAAGCTTTAGTAAAAACTTTTAATCATGACAAAATAAAAATGTAAATAATATTTGGCACAAATAAAAAGAGGAAAGGAACAATTTATAAAACGGAGATATCCAAAGATTTCCGAGTGTTACGAAGTCTTTTCGAATGCATGTCAAAATACCGGTTTTCAATCAGCGTATAGCAATACGTATCGTTTTCATGTCTGAACCGGTATATACCGGTAAACCGGTTATATTGCGCAGCCCTACTTGGCATTGCAGTTTATGTACTCAGCAAAATACAAAGTGGTTTTCAGATGTATGCTTTAAACCATTCACGTTGGAGACGACCGATATCAGTCAGAATATAGCATCGAACTCGTCGTCTCGGGCGATTACCTACGACGAGAGGACAGGTCTTCACTATCTCGGCTGAAGTCCTATGAAATCCTGGTATTGCTGTAGGCGTAGAAGTGTATGTGTCAAGGAAGTGACGACTCCGTCTACACTTGTCCTTCGCTGCAGCTGTAACACATGGTTGACAGGATCTGGGTAGGTCATGTGTTTGGGGATCGATCATTTCAGGTTGCAGGACCCACTCCCCGGAATCAACTTCCACTGGAGTTAAGGACAATTAACAACCTGAAGATTTTCAAAATCTAAATTGAACACATACCTTTTTAAGAAAACATGCGGTGTCTAACTTTTCATTCTCGAGTTGTTCTGAGACTGGAACTGGCGCTATATAAATGTTTTTATAATGATGATGATGATGATGAAGATGATGATGTGTTGTCCCTTGCGTCTAATAACCGTTCCATATTATTGTTTTAGTTTGTTTGTTGTTTAACGCCGCACTCAGCCATACTATTGTAATGGTCCTTGGCGATACGTGTAAAAACCTGGTTAAAGCCTAAACAGAGTCAACTGTCCACAGTCGGCCGACGGCGTTGTTGTGATGAGCGTCTGTCAGTCACGACATGTTTTCACCTTTCACTTGCTGTGCAATTGTAATAACCGACAAATGAAAACCCACCCATGGTTTTCATTCTTAGCCAAGCAATTCATGTTGCACGTTCTTGTCATGTTGGTTTGATTGGCTCCACTCTCCCACGTGGTTCCGTTTTTGCGTGTCTGCTACAGTTTTGGTATGTCCTGACCGTACCAACACAGATCACCTCTGACGCATGCAATGCAATGTGGAATTTACATTTGGCATTCATTTTATATGAATATCAGCAAAAAATTCCAAATATTAACAATTTCCTTTTTTTTTTTTTGGTCGTTTCTTCTTTTTTCAGGGTCCCGTTCCTCAAAGCGATCGTAGCGCTACGACAGTCGTAAGTCTATGTTAAAGTATGGGAGTTACGATCATGTTAGCGCTACGATCACTTTGAGGAACGGGGCCCAGGGTATATGTTATTCGTGAAAATATGTCACAAGTAACATGTAAACGTTCGGGTGTGACATAGTCAACTCAGCGGTCCTCTCTATGATTTTATCGACCGAGCCATGTGTTTACCTCAGTGGCTGGTTATACTTTCAGTTTTGTTTTATATATAAATATACCCTTTACAGCACTTTTATTTTGATTTTTAAAAGATTGCATTACAGATCATAAACGTATGCATGCACGTGGCATTTAACCACTATTTCTGTTTTGAATGGAGCGTAATACTGTTTAGTTTAGGTCTGTTTAAAGCAAAGCCGGTGTTCATAACCAGGAAGGCCAATGGAAAGATAATATTTCCTGTTGGTTCCTCTGGCAAGATAGTATAATGTTGGCTTTTGATTTCAATAATTATGAAAATATAAAATAAGGTAGATTAACAGTGATCAGATCCTGATCAGAAAAAGGGCGGTGGGGTAGCCTAGTGGTTAAAGCGTTCGCTCGTCACGCCGAAGACCCGGGTTCTATTCCCCACATGGGCACAATGTGTGAAGCCCATTTCTGGTGTCCCCGCCGTGATATAGCTGGAATATTGTTAAAAGCGGCGTAAAACTTAACTCACTCACTCACTGATCAGAAAACGCTACAATATGAGGAAATGCAGATATACGTATTGATCATGCGATGTGTACCTTCAGACAATACGCCTGAGAGTGTTTATATGTGTATCGCATTCAATATGTGAACTAGATCGCACCAAGCGATCAGCGGACCTTAGTAAACGCTACAATAAAGTCTACAACATCATTATTTTTTCTTTTGAAAATGTTATAAGGTACGTTCAATTGTTTCTGAAAATCCAATTACCCAATATTGAGACTCACGTCATAGTGTGCCATATTTCTATTACTGGGCATTGTGTTGCTCTGCTATTTCCCGTAGCCTTAAACCTTCAACGAGTTATCGCATTCATTGGTTCAGTGAATCAACATAATTGACGGTCGGTCCGCGGAACATCTCTCGTGTTCCCATTCTGTTGAAAACGTCGCCATAGAGATGAGATCGTGTTTCTATGGACAGCAAAATGTCTGGCCACTTCATTGTGGGCCATTCCGGTCTCCAGCATACCCACGGGCGCGGACACGCTGATTTTCCGTGAGCTGTGGCATGACGTACGCGCAGTTTAGGTTGAAATCAATGTGTTTTCCACAACATTCAGAGGCTGGAGAATAATCAACCGTTTTTCAATGTTCAATATTTTGTTGTTGTCAACTTCAGGTGCCACAAAGCATGCAAAAGGTGAGTAAGCTCATTGTGCACAAAGCGCACGTGCCACGCGTGATATGTGACATCAAATTTCACGCAAAGTGCTTTGCTACATGTTTATTTGGGGATATTTTTATAACTTATTTGATGCATTTTTATGTATTGCACAGTTACTATCTTCGTTAGTATATAACCCACGACAGAACTAAGGCCATAATACGCAAACTTTCAAATATTGGTAGTTTAGGGACAAAACTCTTAAATTATGGCCGCCCATGTCTGATGACTTTTTGAGCTATACAATATCCCACATGCGACATCCTCTATAGGGTATAATATTTCAATTCTACTTTTACATCAACGCCGCACTCAGCAATGTTCCAGCTATATGGCGGCGGTCTGTAAATAATCGAGTCTGGACAAGACAATCCAGTGATCAACAACATGAGCATCGATCTACGATGACATGTTATACGATGACATGTGTCAACCAAGTCAGCGTGCCTGACCACCCGATCCCGTTAGTCGCCTCTTACGACAAGCATGGGTTACTGAAGATCAATTCTAACCCGGATCTTCACGGGCCAGATCAACCAAGGACCAAGTACACCGATTATGCTAAGTGACGTCAAGGTCTCCTTCGGTACTATCAGCAACATGGTTTCTCTGGTTCATGAGCTTAAAGGAAGTTCCTAGAGTATAAAGATAAGATTTGGGGCAGTCCTTGCATGTATAGTAACCTGCTATCCTATACCAGAAGCGCCTGGGATGCAGCATGAAACAACAGTGTCCCTGATTGGATGACAATTTTTAGCGTCTCGTCATTCCATCCAATGAGATTTGGTCGCAAGTATTCATCGCACCAGATTAATATTGAATTTCCACATTCTGATATTTAATTAGGTTTTGAGCTTTCACACATTCCAATTGAGGGTTAAAGTTATAAATAACCGTAGCGATAGTAATATTGAGTTTCATGAATAAATGACACGTTTTATGGATAACAACTTCTCTTTTATTCTTTTCACGACGTTTCAGAGCTAATTCTTGCTCCTTCGTCAGGTGAATGTTGAGTCAGTATAGAGAGTGAATATAAAACATGTTTTATGTATATATATTCACTCTGTATACTGACTCAGTGAATATAAAACATGTTTTATCTATATATATTCACTCTGTATACTGACTCAGCATTCACCTGAAGAAGGAGCAAGAATTAGCTCTGTTATTCATAAAACGTGTCATGTATTCATGTTCGTCCAACTTCTAAATGCCTCTCAAAAACTTCAATAACGAGTTCCGGTCATGATTGAATACAGTTTGTGCTGACATTGATTAGTTACACATTACCTTTTATCCATGCCAAAGGAAAGTATTTTCATCCTTAGTTTCACCCAGTTCAACATTTGATATGTACATGTTTCTGTTACATTCTTTACCCATTTGGTATATGATATTTGTCTCTTACATTCTTTACCCATTTGGTATATGACATGTTTCTGTTACATACTGTACCCATTTGGTATATGATATTTGTCTATTACATTCTTTACCCGTTTGGTATGTAACATTTTTCTGTTACATTCTTTACACATTTGGTATGTGATATTTGTCTGTTACACTCTTTACCCATTTGGTATATATATTTTTCTGTTACACTCTTTACCCATTTGGTATATGATATTTGTCTGTTACATTCTTAACACATTTGTTACACTTTCTTTACCCATTTGGTATATATATTTGCATTTTTCTGTTACACTCTTTACCCTTTTGGTATATTCTTAACACATTTTTCTGTTACACTCTTTACCCATTTGGTATATGATATTTGCATTTTTAGACTGTTACACTTTTACATATTTTGGTATATAGATATTTCCATTCTTTAGACATTTGGTATACACTTTTACCCATTTGGTATATAGCATTTTTCTGTTACTCTTTACCCATTTGGTCTTTTTTCTGTTACATTTATTTGGTATATAGCTATTTCCCGTACATGGCTTTTTCTTTACCCTTTTTGGTAATATATTTTTCTGTTAAGACTCTTTAGGTATATAGCTATTTCCCGTACACTCTTTACCCTTTTCAATATATAAGACAGTAAAGAAAGTATCTTAGCTGAAGTAAATACAAGGTATCAATCACCACTTAAAAATCAATGACGCTTAACAACTCATCCCCATGGGTTTATCGATGACTTCCTTTGTCAGAAGCTTCTGTAACAATGACACATAGGTACTAGAGGACTGTAATGTTTCCTCGCATCCAGATGGCAGCGTTCATCTCAAGCGCTGTTACATGATCTGACGGTCTTTCGAGAGGTCGACAATGTGGAAGGTCTGTATTTTAATATGTGTGTATATTGCTCAACATCATCTTGATTGCCAAGGCAAGTCAGTTGTTTACCGAGAAAAAACACGGAACTTCGGAACATTTAGTCAAAACAATCAATTGTGTCAAATCTGGAAATTTCTTACATACATCTAACATAAAGCTGGATGTTTTGCCCTGATCAACGTGGTTCCCTTTTCAGTTCCTCCTCGCTATCGTACCCTGCATCATACTGATTGCATCTGGTAAGTAAGCAGCGTGGTTCGTTTTGGGGGTGGGGGTGTTGGATGTGTCAGCTAGTTTGGAAAACTGCAAGAAATATGTAAGGAAGCAACTATTTCATATTCCAGTACTTGTTTTGGGGGTGGGGTGTTGGGTTTGTCAGCTAGTTTGGAAAACTGCAAGAAATATGTAAAGGAAGCAACTATTTCATATTCCAGTACTTGTCAGCTAGTTTCGAAAACTGCAGTACTATGTTTGTGGAGGTGGGGGTGTTGGATTTGTTAGCTAGTTTGGAAAACTGCAAGAAATATGTAAGGAAGCAACTATTTCATATTCCAGTACTTGTTTTGGGAGGTGGGGGTGTAGGGTTTGTCAGCTAGTTTGGAAAACTGCAAGAAATATGTAAGGAAACAACTATTTCATATTCCAGTACTTGTCAGCTAGTTTCGAAAACTGCAAGAAATATGTAAGGAAGCAACTATTTCATATTCCAGTACTTGTTTTTGGAGGTGGGGGTGTTGGATTTGTCAGCTAGTTTGGAAAACTGCAAGAAATATGTAAGGAAGCAACTATTTCATATTCCAGTACTTGTCAGCTAGTTTCGAAAACTGCAAGAAATATGTAAGGAAGCAACTATTTCATATTCTAGTACTTGTTTCAACTGCGGCTTCGACATATAGTCAGCCGGTTTGCACAGAGGAGTCTAAACATTGTTTTTTTACAACACGTTTGTTCACAATTTGAAGCATGTCCAGCCGATATTGTCAACTGTAGTTTACTTCTTCGTTTCCTTTGTGTAGAAAGTGAGGCAAAATAGCATTTCCCACTATATGTTTGGATACATATGGATTTTTAAAACCCTTACCAGTCCCCCTGATCACAAGTCAGTTACGCATACATGGGTAATTAAACTTCTATTTGTATAACCACAATAGATGTTAATAATAACGCTTCAACTAGTTTACTCTGTCCATGTGTAACGGTGATGGCTCTGGATAGCTCTGGATGGGGTACCAACTGCAAACCTTATGTAGATGAATTGCATGAGGATCATGCATAAAATTGCTGAAAAGCATGTGCAAATATAGTGCTTGTGAACAGCTGCGTTTTGGTGTAAAGTTTTATTAGAATTCGCCAATTTTCACTGATTTTGATCATTTATTGAACTCGTGGCAATAATCTTTTCAACGTTACGAATTTGTTTTACAATACATCAGTTCATGTGTAAATAGTACCTTTAAACAGTATGGAATATTTTGAACAGTTAAGTTTAGAACAGTTGCCTGAACTAAGTGGTTATATTACACTAGTGAGTCTTTTGAAAGGAAGTACTATTTCATTAAATGCAGTTCATCTAATTGCACATTGGTTTGGTGAATAATAATTGCATTAATAACGCTGAACATGTAATTAAACTCAAAACAAATGGACATCACAAAACTAATACTTTAGTCACATATTGAAATCATTAGGAGTGCAATTATGGAATACATATGGCATCTTCAAAACAACCACGAACTATCTCAGCGTGTCTTACCATCTATGGGACAACTTGCATCAAACTTGTCACATGTTGTGAAGCACCAACATGCACCAAGCACCAACCAAGGACCTGAAATATGAAAATATGCCTTAATTAGCATGGAAATATTAATTTAACCAGTAAATTAAATGTACAATCTTTCTGGACACAAAAATTAATATCTGAATCAAGTTCAAGTGAGATATTCAATTTCAAGTCTGACACCTACAACTTCTAACTGAAAGTCAATGTATACCTCCACCGAATACAGAAATTCAGCTATAATGAATACTGAATTAAACTTTCAACAATTAAATATATTTTTGTAATTTATTCCTTTTACATAAAGCCAAGTGTAATTTACCAGTAATTCACAAATTCAAACTCCTGCCATGACCTTTTAATCACCTTGCCAGGTTGGGAGAAAGACAGCAAGTGAACAAACTTCACACTTTCCTAATGCATCTAACTTCAACATCCAATCAAAATGTTGCACATCTTCAGCCAGTGAAAGCCAACGAAAAGACAGCAGACCTGACCTCATTTAGATGTGGCTACTTTGCATAGGAACTAATATTGACCCATGACACAGGCTGACTATAAATACCTCATGGACAGAAAGTATAAACCTTTTTACTGACAATTGTATTATTGTGTAGGGTATTATGAATTGATCCCAAACAGGCAAATCAGACAAGACGTATCAAAAAAGATTATTTTTCCAGATCATTTTACAATTTGTTTATTCTGTACTTGTTACACATATACTCAGGTGCTGCTACTGGACAGGATCAGAGGGGTACGGAGTTCATGCTGTCATTTATACACCCACAGAAGAATGATGGTAATCCGATCCTCCTTATATCAGCCGAAGATAGAGCGTTTGTCACAATAACCATCCCCTCTCTAGATCAACGTCTTACGAAGGACATGGAACCCGGGGAAACATGGAAGCCTTCCCTGTCCACAGACCTGAGGTACAAATCTTATTTTACAACTGTACGATCTGCCGTGAATGTTACTTCTACATCCCCAGTCACAGTCTACGTCTACGATGGGTTTAGACTCAGATCCTCTGGATACATGGCACTTCCTCTACACGCCCTGTCCACGTCGTATATTGCAGTGACTTACAATGGTCAGAAAAACAATGCTTATCCAGTTTTACTTCTCGTTGCCATCATGAATGACACCACAGTGGATGTTTTGTACCGGCTGTCCAGTGGTCAGTGTGATGAACATACAATTGGGCAGACCTCTACCCACACACTTCATGCATATGACGTGTACGGTGTACGATGTACTGGTGACTTCACAGGAACATACGTTGTGAGCAACAAGGCCCTAGTGGTCATCTCTGGACATCAGAATACAAACATAAGCGGATTCTATTACGATACTCTTCAAGAGATGTTGATTCCCGTGGATCAGTTTGGTCTGAGTTTTGTGCTGATTGAGCCTCATGGCAGCGCGAGTGGATCCATCAACAGAATCGTTTCATCTTCTGACAACACCGCGGTGACTTCCAGTACTGGGGAGACCTTCCTTCTCAGTGCGTACGAGTATGTGGACATTGACACTGATATCAGTGGCCAACAATGTATCAACTCAAATTTTCCAGTCCTGGTTGTTTCCTTCACCAAGTCGAAAAAATGGCGGTTCTTATGATAAGATAGTTGTTGACGCAGCAATGTATATCGTACCTGCAACCAACATGTTCACCACAAGCATCTATGTTGACTTTGGGTTAGCTACTGAGTTGAACATAGCTGAATTTGTGTCTATCGCCTTTGTGTTTAGTAGAAACGATACTCCTGACTTTACAGCTTCTCCAACTGTCCATAAAGTCATCCCAAGCTGCCCCTATGATGTGTACACAATGACAGTAACAGCATGGCCCGTCAGGTTTTCTGGTGGTTCCTTCGCATTTGGCGCTTACCTCTACGGAAACAACGACGCCAGACATAATGGCGTTGGCTTTCCGCTCAATATGGCCTTTGGTAAGACCTGACTCTAAAATGCTGTATTTTTAGGTAGCTTTAAATAGGCACTGAGCTCATATGACTATATTGAACGTTTTATACAATACCACTTTTTAATGAGTTTTTTTTTTTTATTCATGTTTTCCCAGCGTAATGTAATATAGTGGGAGGTATGAAATAATGTTTTGATGCTAAAGACAATACATTCAGTATCATTAGATGAAATATACAATCTGAAATAAGTAATTCCAAAAAGCATACATGATATAATTACTATTAATCTAATTCGTCTGTTCTTTTTTCATAGCTAGCGGACTTGTGTCAAGTTCACGTTTGTACTTATCTACATCTGAATCAAGTACAGTCCAACCTTCGTCTTTGTCTCAGTCTCCGGATGCAACAGCTCCCTCCGTCGGTATTCAGTCATCCTCTACCTTTATCAGAGATCATCAGTTCCCAACATCAATGTCTCATCACATGATACCGGACTCATATTCCAAACGTACATCCTCTGCCTCCACTGATTTGAAACCTTCAGCTCCAGTGGAAACACTGGGACAATCCAGCACACCAGACGTGGACCAGACATCAGCAGATAATGTTCCTTCCTTTACAATTTCCTCTTCGCATTCACCTGACATAGACCTGCAATCCTCCACTCGTTCTCCTTCGTCGTCACCTCCTTCTTCCTCCTTTTTTCTTCTCTTTCGTTGTCTTCTCCCTTTTCTTTTTCATCTCAATCTTTTCCGTCTTCTTCCCCTTCGTCTTATCCTACTTCATCCTTTTCTCTCTTCTCCTTTTCTTTTGTGCTACTGTCGTCTTCTATTTCTCATACTTCTTCCCCCTCTCCTTCTTCGTCTTCGATTTCTTCACTTCCTCCTTCTTCTGTTTCCTTTTCACCTCTGTCATTTTCTTCTTCTCTCTTTTCTTTTTCTTCATCTTCTCCATTTACAACCTCTAACCATGGCATGTATGATTTGACATCTTCAATACCTCAGCAGAAAGTATGTGGTTGCCTTTGCACGACCCATGCTGCTTGGAACATCACCGATGAGCTGTTGGACATGTTACGGAAAGACATTATTGACCTGCTTCTCCTGGAGCCTATGAACCTCTCCAAGACTATCAGGAAGCTGACCAGTGCCCAAGACAACAGACCAAGTGCCATCACTATTGGGTCAGTGGGAACAGCCTTCATTGTTCTTACAATTGTTCTAATTTTTGTTCCCGATGTAATGTCTGGACTCAGATATCTATTTGCTGAAGGCACAACCCACCCGAAAGTGTTTCAGTTTGTTCGCAATGTTAAATAGTGTATTTGTGCATTTGCAAAGACCAGAGCCCAGCTTAACAGCCGTCACTATAAAATCAGTCGAAATAGGTTTCATTGTTTTCCCATAGCTGTCATTCTTGTTTGTGATAAGAGGAACATCGCCCATAAGTGAGGTTAATTCTGGAGAGTGTAACAGTTGGTTGTTTGGCCTGGTTGTGTAGGCTATATACTCGGGATGTAGCGGGTATACCTTTAAAGCGAAGTAAACATTAAAAACGAATTGAGCAAACGGAGCCAGTTTGACATGCTGCAAATGTCAGCATTTGCTTTTTAGATGATGCAGATGCAGTTACAGTGACAACATAATTTCTTTTTGGGTTTTCACAGCAAAGCATTGTGTTTAAGTTGGGGAGGGGGGATGAGGAGGCTGGGTATTTGTGTGTTTGTGTGTGTTGACAGGGGTTGTTTCTCGAACCATCGAACTACGTTTTTTATGTTATATCGAAGATATGAGCGTCTCCCAAACTAGTATAATCATCATAAAAATTGTTTGCCTCCGTTATATATTTTCTTGATAATCAATGTTACAGATATTGTTTTTCATTCAAATATTTGTACTTTGAACACACAATTTATTTAGTATGTCCCGGTAGTATGACGAATGGTAGGTTCGACTTGAGAGAGAGTTGATTGTTGTTAGAATTCCGTCATTTTCCGTTGCAGCAAAATGTGTTGTAGTGGACATAGTTTCCGACGTGTTGGGCAATATTTCTTCTATTCCTCTGTTCTGGTACTGTACACGCTTGTATTCGTTGAATTTAACCGTTAAATTTCATGAATTCAATTCGTTATTTATTGTCACTAGAAACGAATGCACATGATTTTTTTAAATTTATAATTTTAGATTAAAAGAGGTAATTGGTTATTGTCAAAATGCAAAATGGAATATGTCCAACCCAGGCAGCACAAAGGTATATATATATATATATATCATAAAGGCGTTTTGCCAAGAAGAAATATCTAGAATCTGACTCATATTTTATATATGTATTGCTTTTACACCTGCTGAAATCAGAAATCACACACACACACACATATATATATATATATATATGAATGACAGTATTGTTGTCGAAGGCTATTGTCATGATACATTAACATTGTCAACGTGGTCAAAGACTCTGTTGTTATTGTATTACTGATCATGATATATAATACGTCGGCTGCTGACTTACTATTGCACTCGTTACCCAATATCCGTATCCTTTACCAAATACAGCTATCATATTAACCTCATGTTGGGTTCGTTGCAGCCCTAGAATATACCCTCCGTCACAAGCATCGACCAACGTCTGTATCTCCGCTTTATCACAGTGAATACACTGCGACAAGTCCAGATACTATCACAAGCAGGCCAGGCTGATGATATATGCTTGTAGTCTCGTCTTGTAAAATGTGGTTGCTTGATAACACAAGTCTGGATTCCGTTGCTTATTGTCTGATGTAAGCTTGTAATTAGTCACTATCTTAATACAACTTTGTTTTTGGTTGTCTGGAACTGTTTTTTACTTACGAATGTTCAAAGTGTTGTATATTTCAAACCTCAACCTTGGTTTAAATGGTAAGCTGAACTAGTTGTATGTTTTAATTGGTATATTCGTCAAGAACAGCATTTGGATAATCTCTAGGTATTCGTTCCGATAAACCTCCACTATGCATCTACGGGTCGGCCCGATAATTTTATTACCTCCCTTGGCTGACTTTTTATCCAATCAGGTGTCTACGCTGGGAAGTTGAGCGTACCAATCACAAGGTTTCTATCATAACTCACTTTCGCTTGTTTTATCTAACCGATTAAACTTGGCAACACACTTGTTGCAGAGGTACTCTGAAAGAGGTAGAAGGAGTTCTTGCATATATATTTTGAAGGTTTCAGACTTGTCAATTTGACTGCATGATTTTCCCCCTACATCTGAACCGCTATCTTTGTTGACACTATCTTTGTTGACACTTGCAAGTTCGGTTGTAACGGCTTATTTGACTGGTTACTGTGAAAATGCAGAGCCAGCAAAGGGAGGTAGTAAAATTTCGGGCTGAGCCGTAGATGCATCCAGGGTATAGTGGAGGTTTGTCGGAACGTATACCTTGGAGATTATCGAGGATGCAAGAACGGAGGGTTTGTCGAATTGTTAAGTCGTTTACGACGCACGACGAAGCCCTTGGTCCGGTACCCATGGCGGTGGTGTAGCCTACTGGTTAACACGTTCGCTCGTTGTTCCAAAGACTTGGGTTCGATTCTGTTAATGGGTACAATGTGTGAAGCCCACTTCTGGTGTCCCTGTCGTGATATTGCTGGAATATTGATATTAATGGTCTAAACTCACTGCACGACATCATAAATGATCCTGAAATATTATTCACACGTTGGTAACAGAAGCTTAACACTATACCAGTCTGGCATATATAGTCGTACACATACACGAGGATAGAAGCCCCTATGAATACCAAACTGACGTATGCAGTTATATGCGAATACACAACCCCCCTGTATTTACCTACTTATACTGGGGCGGTGGGGTAGCCTAGTGGTTAAAGCGTTGGCTCGTCACACCGAAGACCCTGGTTCGAATCCCCACATAGGTACAATGTGTGAAGCCCATTTCTGGTGTCCCCCGCCGTGATGTTGCTGGAATATGATGTTTGGAGTAAAACCAAAGTCACTCACTATACACCATGGACGAAGATCCAAACCTTTGTTAATGTTATCCTGATTACGTGTAGGTACATCTCTGAAACTTACAAATCCCCCCCTGATTATCGTGAAGCGATTCTATTATTATTTCCGGGTTTATCAAGATCATTTACAACAGGCTCTCAGACAAACAAACATATACACAACAGAGTCCAAAGTGTACGGCCATGAATACAGAACCTCTGTTCTCAGAAACAAATGGGCGCAGCGGTACCCTTGCTGTCGTAGGTGACACAGATATGTGTGGTATTTCAAGCGACGTGATGACGGCAGTATCCTGGAGATTTACTGCAGCATCACAAACAAAACATGTGAATACGTACAGTATGCGGCGTGCGTGAACTGACTGATAAGGGCAAACACATTAATCGGATCGGACATTTCTATTCTTCCATAATTATATCAGAACTTGTAGGTATATTTCAAAAGAAAAATTAAGCTTTAAATAATGTGTCGTTGTATTAATATCATTATTATTGTCATTCTCGCTATTTCATATACTAACTAGTACTGATGCAATACTTTGGTTTAAACATATTTTAGTATCATGTCATTAGTATTTGTTTGGTTGTGAGGACTACGTTTTACGGATTAAAAAGTATTACGCAGCAGAAAGAGGTTCTTCACGTATCTCAGACAGCGAATGGGACTTCTACCAGGAAGCACTGCTAAGTCGATTGCACCAAACAAACGTCTGCATTACCGGAGCGTTAGAAGGGAGTGGAGAACCCAGGCAAGCTCCTGATCTGTGTCAAGAGTACAGTGCGCCGAGAACAATCGTGAGCCTGACGACAGTGTACTTGGAAGACACTTCAAAGGCAAAGTACGCATATTTGCCATGATTTGTCCTGAATCTTGACAATCACATTTCAGTAAAAAGACATAATCTAATTTCTCTGACCACGTTGTGTATGTTTATGGCAAATCAAAGTCGAAATGGGCGGCACACAAGGAAGTGCGATCTTGAGATCGAGAGGAAGCTTGGGTACTTCTTAAAGATGTTTGGTACAGACTGGATTATTTACAGACTAACGTCATATCGCCGGAATGTTAAAGACACCATCATTAAACAAAACAAATAAACAACTTGGTTGAGATGCTTTTGTTTGCCAGAATCGCATGCCTCGTTCTTGAGTTTGCTGACAATGCTACAAAATACCACGAAATAAGAGTAATGGTAAATCGAACAAACACAATGGGACTCTCAATCATTCTTGCGTAGAGCGCCATTCAAACACGATCTTTACTGCAAATGTTAAGTACCTGTTTGCAGTAGGGAAACTTACCAGTACCAATCAATACAGAGAAAATGTAACATCTATTCTTAATGGTAATCCTTTGAAATGGCAAAATATCGACTTTATTATTTATCTAGAAGACTGGACAATAGAATCGTACGAACGCTTGTCTCCGATTAAAAACATCGGAGTAAATAACATTTTACGTGAAATATTATGATCGTCTTTTTTAAAATCCAGGGAAAAAGTTAGTTTAGTTCGTACCCATAGACGGTCAAGCAACGACAGTCTATATACTGCACCAGTGACTGCAAGTCAATATTTACCAATTTTATGCAGACTGCATTGTTATATTTACCGAACCCTCTCTTACCTGCGATACAGGTGATATTAATCCATTATTTACATCATATGTTACCACTAATATATACACACACAAAATAAAAGA